CCAGTGCTGAAGGAGGCTTGTGAGCACTCAGTAATGAGGCACGCAGAATAGGATGCCTTGTCATGTGACAGCCCCCCCCCCTGCTGCCCCTGCTCTCACCCCCCCCCCGTATTCTGGAATAGAGCAGACATCACTTGATTGGTTACATTGAGTCGGTACTGTCAGTGCTGAGCAATCAGCAGTGGAAAACCATCCACAGCCTATTCAAAAACCCGACTGCAGCCAAAACGTTTCATTTTAGATGGGGTGTGAAAGGACTGGAGCCTCTGACAGGTTTTTATTTCCCTCTGTGTCCTTATTGGGGGGGGTTTTCCCCTTACTTGTCCAGGACAGGAAATGATGAAAAATCTCTCCAATGGGAGCACAGACAGGGCAAGAGCATGGGGCACATAGGCCAAAGCCCCCCCTCCCCTCCCCCCACCCCAACCTTTTCTAAGTATTTGCATTCGAATTTTGCACCATTAATGGGGCCACAGCAACGACCGATTTTTGAGCGACCTTCGAATTTGAGCGATTGGGCGTGATGAGTGTCATCGAAAAAGAAATCCGACCTGGAAAGAAAAAAAAATTTGCCCACGAAAATTCCTAGATGTAGCAACATGAGGAGAAATGAAAGGCTCGGCCGGTCCAATTTCAAAATCAATGATGGCGCCATCGGGTTACAAAACGCGCAAAATTTCAAATTTTCTGAAGAAAATTTGTTCAGAATTCGACCTGCGAATGGCCTGCATTAGGAGCAAAGCTAATTTTTAGACGACAAAATCCTAATGAACAAGAATTCATCTCCGGGTGAGTCTAATTGTTCATTATAGAGGCGTCCAGCAGACAGGTGATTATAAGAGGGCGGGACTTAACAAAGAAAACCCCGCCCATTTCATGCTGTCAGCGATGTCATCACATGGAAGAGAAATGTCACGAGGCCTGAGAAAGGAAATTGTTTCTTTACACGAGAAAGGTGAAAGCTACAAGATCAGCAAAGCTTCACTTCCCAGAACACTGGAGCAAAAGGGATACAAAGATGGAAGTGCAACCATCTCACAGAGACGTCCAGGCCGTCCAGGGAAGCGAACACCTCGAAAGGAGCGCCTTCTGATGAGAAGGGTTGAAGAAAATCGCCATGCGAGAGGTCGTTCTGGAAGAATGGAAGATCGATGTCGCAATATGGCGCCAACTTTCAAGATTTCACTCTGTATAATATATCTTATATCTGGAGGGCGGTGATGTCACTCTGTGTAATATATCTTATATCCGGAGGGCGGTGATGTCACTCTGTGTAATATATCTTATATCTGGAGGGCGGTGATGTCACTCTGTATAATATATCTTATATCTGGAGGGCGGTGATGTCACTCTGTGTAATATATCTTATATCCGGAGGGTGGTGATGTCACTCTGTATAATATATCATATATATGGAGGGCGGTGATGTCACTCTGTATAATATATCTTATATCTGGAGGGCGGTGATGTCACTCTGTATAATATATCTTATATCTGGAGGGCGGTGATGTCACTCTGTATAATATATCTTATATATGGAGAGCGGTGATGTCACTCTGTATAATATATCTTATATCTGGAGGGCGGTGATGTCACTCTGTATAATATATCTTATATCTGGAGGGCGGTGATGTCACTCTGTATAATATATCTTATATCCGGAGGGCGGTGATGTCACTCTGTATAATATATCTTATATATATGGAGAGCGGTGATGTCACTCTGTATAATATATCTTATATCCGGAGGGCGGTGATGTCACTCTGTATAATATATCTTATATCTGGAGGGCGGTGATGTCACTCTGTATAATATATCTTATATCTGGAGGGCGGTGATGTCACTCTGTATAATATATCTTATATCTGGAGGGCGGTGATGTCACTCTGTATAATATATCTTATATCCGGAGGGTGGTGATGTCACTCTGTATAATATATCTTATATCCGGAGGGTGGTGATGTCACTCCTGCATAATATATCTTATATCTGGAGGGCGGTGATGTCACTCTGTATAATATATCTTATATATGGAGAGCGGTGATGTCACTCCTGTATAATATATCTTATATCTGGAGGGCGGTGATGTCACTCCTGTATAATATATCTTATATCTGGAGGGCGGTGATGTCACTCTGTATAATATATCTTATATCTGGAGGGCGGTGATGTCACTCCTGTATAATATATCTTATATCTGGAGGGCGGTGATGTCACTCTGTATAATATATCTTATATCTGGAGGGCGGTGATGTCACTCTGTATAATATATCTTATATATGGAGAGCGGTGATGTCACTCTGTATAATATATCTTATATCTGGAGGGCGGTGATGTCACTCCTGTATAATATATCTTATATCCGGAGGGCGGTGATGTCACTCCTGTATAATATATCTTATATCTGGAGAGTGGTGATGTCACTCTGTATAATATATTCTTATATCTGGAGGGCGGTGATGTCACTCTGTATAATATATCTTATATCCGGAGGGCGGTGATGTCACTCTGTATAATATATCTTATATCTGGAGGGCGGTGATGTCACTCTGTATAATATATCTTATATCCGAGAGGGGGCGGTGATGTCACTCTGTATAATATATCTTATATATGGAGAGCGGTGATGTCACTCTGTATAATATAGCTTATATCTGGAGGGCGGTGATGTCACTCCTGTATAATATATCTTATATCCGGAGGGCGGTGATGTCACTCCTGTATAATATATCTTATATCCGGAGAGCGGTGATGTCACTCTGTATAATATATCTTATATCTGGAGGGCGGTGATGTCACTCTGTATAATATATCTTATATCCGGAGGGCGGTGATGTCACTCTGTATAATATATCTTATATCTGGAGGGCGGTGATGTCACTCTGTATAATATCTTATATCTGGGGGGCGGTGATGTCACTCTGTATAATATATCTTATATCTGGATAGAAGTGTGTAATCTGCTCCTTTTCTTTATCTCACTGAACTCTTCTGTGTCCTCTGATAGTCTCATATTTCACATTCTCTCCCATATACCCCCCTCATCTCCGGCAGACATGGGCGGGGTTCCTTTATTTCCCATCCCCCACAGGCCGCTTCTGCCCCAGATAAACTTTATTTGTTACTATTTTTATCGGCGTTCCGTGTTTATGATATAATTCGATTACGGAGAGCGGCGGCTCAGTGCAACAATCTGCAGCCGATCGTCTGTGTGCAGGAGGAGATATTACCATCATAAATCATCTCCGTCACTCAGAGACGCCACAGGATGCAAATGTGGATATAATGGCGATATGACTGCGACAGGAGGAAACATGGAGTCTGAGCAGGACGGCGGTCAGAGCCGCCATCACAAGAGGAAACCTGCATCCCTCCCATCCCCCCCAACATATACTTATATCCTCCGATTGTACTGGCTCCTCCCCCTCAGTCTTGCACAGGTGTACAGGGAAGATTAAGAATCCCAGGTCTGTACGTCCGCTGTGCCCATTATGCCCACTCTCCCCGGACCTGCATTCACTATATCCGCTCTCCCTGGACCCCGCATTCACTATATCCGCTCTCCCCGGACCCCGCATTCACTATATCCGCTCTCCCCGGACCCTGCATTCACTATATCCGCTCTCCCCGGACCCCGCATTCACTATATCCTCTCTCCCCGGACCCCGCATTCACTATATCCGCTCTCCCCGGACCCCGCATTTACTATATCCGCTCTCCCGGACCCCGCATTCACTATATCCGCTCTCCCGGACCCCGCATTCACTATATCCGCTCTCCCCGGACCCCGCATTCACTATATCCTCTCTCCCCGGACCCCGCATTCACTATATCCGCTCTCCCCGGACCCCGCATTCACTATATCCGCTCTCCCGGACCCCGCATTCACTATATACGCTCTCCCCGGACCCCGCATTCACTATATCCGCTCTCCCCGGACCCCGCATTCACTATATCCGCTCTCCCCGGACCCCGCATTCACTATATCCGCTCTCCCCGGACCCCGCATTCACTATATCCGCTCTCCCCGGACCCCGCATTCACTATATCCGCTCTCCCCGGACCCCGCATTCACTATATCCGCTCTCCCCGGACCCCGCATTCACTATATCCGCTCTCCCCGGACCCCGCATTCACTATATCCGCTCTCCCCGGACCCCGCATTCACTATATCCTCTCTCCCCGGACCCCGCATTCACTATATCCGCTCTCCCCGGACCCCGCATTTACTATATCCGCTCTCCCGGACCCCGCATTCACTATATCCGCTCTCCCGGACCCCGCATTCACTATATCCGCTCTCCCCGGACCCCGCATTCACTATATCCTCTCTCCCCGGACCCCGAATTCACTATATCCGCTCTCCCCGGACCCCGCATTCACTATATCCGCTCTCCCCGGACCCCGCATTCACTATATCCGCTCTCCCCGGACCCCGCATTCACTATATCCGCTCTCCCCGGACCCCGCATTCACTATATCCGCTCTCCCCGGACCCCGCATTCACTATATCCGCTCTCCCCGGACCCCGCATTCACTATATCCGCTCTCCCCGGACCCCGCATTCACTATATCCGCTCTCCCCGGACCCCGAATTCGCTATATCCGCTCTCCCCGGACCCCGCATTCGCTATATCCGCTCTCCCCGGACCCCGCATTCGCTATATCCGCTCTCCCCGGACCCCGCATTCACTATATCCGCTCTCTCCCCGGACCCCGCATTTACTATATCTGCTCTCCATGGAATTGGACAGAGGGGTGGTTGTGGGACGTGGTATACTTGGACAGAGGGGTGGCTGTGGACGCGGTAGACTTGGACAGAGGGGTGGCTGTGGACGTGACAGACATGGACAGAGGGGTGGCTGTGGACGTGGTATACTTGGACAGACGGGTGGCTGTGGACGCGGTAGAATTGGACAGAGGGGTGGCTGTTGACTCTGTAGACTTGGACAGAGGGGTGGCTGTTGACTCTGTAGACTTGGACAGAGGGGTGGCTGTGGACGTGGTATACTTGGACAGAGAGGTGGCTGTGGACGTGGTATACTTCGACAGAGGGGTGGCTGTGGACATGGTAGACTTGGACAGAGGGGTGGCTGTGGACGTGCTAGACTTGGACAGAGGGGTGGCTGTGGACGTGGTAGACTTGGACAGAGGGGTGGCTGTGGATGTGGTATACTTGGACAGAGGGGTGGCTGTGGACGTGGTAGACTTGGACAGGGGGTGGCTGTGGACGTGGTAGACTTGGACAGAGGGGTGGCTGTGGATATAGTAGACTTGGACAGAGGGGTGGCTGTGGATGTGGTAGACTTGGACAGAGGGGTGGCTGTAAACGTGGTAGACTTGGACAGAGGGGTGGCTGTGGATATAGTAGACTTGGACAGAGGGGTGGCTGTGGACACGGTATACTTGGACAGAGGGGTGGCGGTGGATGTGGTGTACTTGGACAGAGGGGTGGCTGTGGATGTGGTAGACTAGGACAGAGGAGTGGCTGTGGACGTGGTAGACTAGGACAGAGGGGTGGCTGTGGACGTGGTAAACTTGGACAGAGGGGTGGCTGTGGACGTGGTAGACTTGGACACAGTTCCCCACACACGGCTAATGTGTTGGTAAAGTCTACAGACTGGGAATATCGATATGTAAATGGGTAGAAAACTGGCCAAAAGATGGTATTCAGAGCGTAGTGGTTACTCCTTTCCCCTGCAGGAGAAGATTGGATCATGATTTGTTGGTGCATTTTTGCCCTCCTCTGGATCTGTTGTATGTATAGGATTGTGTATATTGGATTGTACATTTTTTTTTCTTCCTTTTTATTGGTTGAACTAGATGGACTGGTACCTACAATAATGTGCCCACACCCTGCTATCCCAATCACCTGCCCTGCTCCTCACATGCAGCTTTATTCCAGCACATTGACCCTGAGATCTGTCCACTCTGATCTAATATAATATATTTCTATGGTCAGGACAGACACTCCACTCAGTTCTTTTATGACTTTTTCACTCGTTTATTAAACTAAACTGGCCAATTCCTCCTCTCATTGATGGTCTATCAGGACATGGATAGGGATCGCCACAGTTGGGTAGGTATCTTCCTTAGATGATTGGGTGGGAGCACACCAGTTGTAAAGGCTTAGGCTGAGTTTCAGAGGTCAGGGCTGGGTCAGGATGAAGGGTTAGGTTAATTATGAGTAAAATTAGAAGGTTAGGTTGTGGCTCAGAGGACGGGGCTTCACTTTAGGGTTACTGGTTAGGTTAAGGTGAAGGGTCAGCCTTAGGTGAAGTGTTAGGCAAAGAGTTGAGGTGAAGGGCTAGGTTAGAAGGTTGGATTGAGGGGCTGGGTTGAGGTAAAGGGTTAGATTGGAAAGTTGGGTTGAGGGGCTGGGTTGAGGTGAAAGTTTAGGTTAGAAGGTTGGGTGGATGGGCTGGGTTGAGGTGAAGGGCTAGGGAAGAAGGTTGGGTTGCAGGGCTGGGTTGAGGTGAAGGGTTATTTTAGAAGGTTGGATTGAGGGGCTGGGTTGAGGTAAAGGGTTAGATTTGAAAGTTGGGTTGAGTTGAGTTGAAAGGTTGGGTGGATGGGCTGGGTTGAGGTGAAGGGTTAGGTTAGAAGGCTGGGTGGATGGGCTGGGTTGAAGTGAAGGGTTAGGTTAGAAGGCGGGTGGATGGGCTGGGTTGAGGTGAAGGGCTAGGTTAGAAGGGTGGGTGGATGGGCTGGGTTGAGGTGAAGGGCTAGGTTAAAAGGTTGGATTGATGGACTAGGTTGAGTTGAAGGGCTAGGTTAGAAGGTTGGCTTGCGGGGCTGGGTTGAGGTGAAGGGTTAGGTTAGAAGGCTGGGTGGATGGGCTGGGTTGAGGTGAAGGGCTAGGTTAGAAGGTTGGGTTGCGGGGCTGGGTTGAGGTGAAGGGTTAGGTTAGAAGGTTGGATTGAGGGGCTGGTTTGTGGTGAAGGATTAGATTAGAAGGTTTGGTTGAGGGGCTGGGTTGAGGTGAAGGTCTAGGTTAGAAGGTCAGGTTGCAGGACTGAGTTGAGATGAAGGGTTAGGTTAGAAGGTTGGATTGAGGGGTGGGCTGAGGTTAAGGGTCAGATTAGAAGGCAAGGTTGCGGTGCTGAGTTGGGGTTAAGGATTACGTTAAAAGGTTGGGTTGAGGTGAACTGTTTGGTTGAAGTAAGAGGTGGAAATAGCGGTTAGGTTTCCGGTGAAGTGTTAGGTTGGGGGTTGAGTATAGGGTGAGGGGCTGGGTTGAGGTGAAGGGCTAGGTTAGAACATTAGGTTGAAGGGCTGCGTTGAGGTGAAGGGTTGGGCTAAAAGGCTGGATTGAGGTGAAGGGATGGGTTGAATTAAGAGGTTGAGTTGGGGGGGGACAGGTTTTCGGTGAACTGTTTGGTTGGAGGTTTAGTATAGGGTTAGGTTTAGGGAAGGTTGAGGTGGAAGGTTAGATTTGGAGTTAGCTGTGGGTTAGTTGTTAGGGACAAAGGCCGATGTAAAGAGTGAGGCTGGGATTCAGAGATCAGGGCTACACTTTAGTTTCTGGGTCAGGTTGAGGTGAAGGGATAGGCTGAGGTGAGGGTTTAGGGTAGTTTGTGGGGCTGAAGTGAAGGGTGAAGATGGTAGGGAGTTAGGCAAAGGTGAAGGTATAGATCATGGGTTGGGTTGAGATGAAGGGCTTGGTTAAAAGGTTGGATTGATGGACTGGGTTGAGGTGAAGGGCTAGCTTAGAAGGTCAGGTTGTGCGGGTGGGTTGAGGTGAAGGGTTAGGTTAGAAGATTGGATTGAGGAGTGGGTTGAGGTGAAGGGTTAGGTTAGAAGATTAGATGAGAGGTGGGTTGAAGTGAAGGGTTAGGTTAGAAGATTAGATGAGAGGTGGGTTGAAGTGAAGGGTTAGATTAGAAGGTTTGGTTGAGGGGCTGGGTTGGGGTGAAGGATTAGGTTAGAAGATTGGATTGAGGGGTGGGTTGAGGTGAAGGGTTAGATTAGAAGGTTTGGTTGAGGGGCTGGGTTGAGGTGAAGGGTTAGGTTAGAAGATTTGGTTGAGGGGCTGGGTTGAGGTGAAGGGCTAGGTTAGAAGGTCAGGTTGTGGGGGTGGTTTGAGGAGGTGAAGGGTTAGGTTAGAAGATTGGATTGAGGGGTGGGTTGAGGTGAAGGGTTAGGTTAGAAGGTTGTGTTGAGGTAAAGGGACTTGTTGAATTGAGAGGTTGAGTTGGGGGGGACAGGTTTCAGTGAACTGTTTGGTTGGAGGTTTAGTATAGGGTTAGGTTTAGGGAAGGTTGAGGTGGAAGGTTAGATTTGGAGTTAGCTGGGGGTTAGTTGTTAGGGGCAAAGGTGGATGTAAAGAGTGAGGCTGGGACTCAGCGATCAGGGTCTACATTTTAGTTTCTGGGTCAGGTTGAGGTGAAGGGATAGGCTGAGGTGAGGGTTTAGGGTAGTTTGTGGGGCTGAAGTGAAGGGTGAAGATGGGAGGGGGTTAGGCCAAGGTGAAGGTATAGATCATGGGTTGGGTTGAGTTGCAGAGTTGGTTTTGGGGATTAGGTTGTAGGGATGAAGTTTAGGAGGTTATGTTGAGGTTCAGAGGTCAGGTTCTCACTAAGAGTTTGAGTTCAGGTGGAGGTGAAGGGTCACACTGCGGGTTTACACCTTTCATCTGTCCTAATATCCTCTAAGTGATAAATAGGCCCCACATTCTCCGTTGGTGATAAATACGCCCCACGATATCTGATGGTGATAAATACACCCCACATTCTCCGTTGGTGAAAAATACGCCCCACGATATCTGATGGTGATAAATACGTCCTACATTCTTTGATGGTGATAAATACGCCTCATATTTTCTGACAGTGGTATATACACCCTACAGTCTCAGGTGGTGATAAATACGCCCACATTCTCCAATAGTAATAAATATTTCCAACATTTTCCAAAGGTGATACATACATCCCACATTCTCCAATTGGTGATAAATGCCCCCACAATTCTCCAAAGGAGTTTAATATGCCCCACATTCTCCAATGGTGATAAATACACACCACATTCTCCAAAGGAGATGAATATGCCCCACATTCTCCAACGGTGATAAATACGCCCCACATTCTCCAATTTTATACTACTCCCCACATTCTCCAACGGTGATAAATATGCCCCATATTCTCAGATGGTTATAAATATGCCCCACATTCTCCAACGTGATAAATACACCCCACATTCTCCAACGGTGATATAATACACCCCACATTCTCCAATGTTCTACTACTCCCCACATTCTCCAACGGTGATAATTACGCCCCACATTCTCCAGCGGTGATAAATATGCCCCATATTTTCAGATGGTGATAAATTATGCCCAACATTCTCCAATGGTGATAAATACACCCCACATTCTCAGATGGTGGTAAATACACCCCACATTCTCTAATGGTGATAAATACGCCCCACATTCTCCAATGGTAATAACTACTCCCCACATTCTCCAATGGTGATAAGTACACCCGCCACATTCTCAAATGTTTATACTACTCCCCACATTCTCCAACGGTGATAAATACACCCACATTCTCCAACAGTGATAAATACACCCCCACATTCTCCAATGTTATACTACTCCCACATTCTCCAATGGTGATAAATATGCTCCACATTCTCCAACGGTGATAAATATGCCCCATATTCTTCAGGTGGTGATTAAATACACCCCGCATTCTCCAACGGTGATTAAATATGCCCCACATTGTCCAACAGTGATAAATACACCCCCACATTCTCAGATGGTGATAAATACACCCATATTCTTCAACAGTGATAAATACACCCCACATTCTCTGATGGTGATAAATACACCCACATTCTCCAACAGTGATAAATACACCCCACATTCTCAGATGGTTATAAATACACCCCACATTCTCAGATGGTTATAAATACGCCCTACATTCTCCAACGGTGATAAAATACACCCCACATTCTTCAACGGTGATAATACGCCCCACATTCTCCAACGGTGATAAATATGCCCCACATTCTCCAGTGGTGATAAATACGCCCCACATTCTCAGATGGTGATAAATACGCCCACATTCTCAGATGGTGATAAATATGCCCCACATTGGTGATAAACACATCCTTATGCTTTCTCCATGTGGTTAGATGTGGTGGTCTGTATTCTCTCTGTCTTGTGGTGGGTGATTTCAGCTGCTCTCAGATTCCGTATAATTGTCGCCATCCGGGTATCCTGGCATAATGGTGCCCCGGGGGAAGCAGCAGAAGGGTCTCTGCTCAGCGTGTTGGTACACAGAGATATGAGGACAGATTGTGGGGGGTCGGCCTGATATCGGCGTACACAGCAACCCTCCCACCGTCTGCCTTGTTCTGGAATCCTTCTTCATATCGAGGAATTCAGTGACAACCGTGACAATTCTGTGCTTACTGTAAAAGATTCAATCCGACCAGCCAATCATTACAGGGCAGATCCAATCATTACTGGGCAGAGCCAATCATTACTGGGCAGAGCCAATCGTTACTGGGAAGATCCAATTATTACTAGGCAGATTCAATCATTACTGGGCAGAGCCAATCATTTGGGCAGATCCAATCATTACTGGGCAGAGCCAATCATTACTGGGCAGAGCCAATCATTACAGGGAAGAGCCAATCATTACAGGGCAGAGTCAATCATTACAGGGCAGAGCCAATCATTACTGGGCAGATCCAATCATTACTGGGCAGAGCCAATCATTACTTTTTTCCAATCATTACTGGGCAGAGCCAATCATTACTGGGCAGAGCCAATCATTACTGGGCAGATCCAATCATTACTGGGTAGAGCCAATCATTACTGGGCAGAGCCAATCATTACAGGGTAGAGCCAATCATTACTGGGCAGATCCAATCATTAATGTGCAGAGCCAATCATTACTGGGCAGATCCAATCATTACCGGGCAGAGCCAATCATTACTGGGCAGATTCAATCATTACAGGGCAGAGCCAATCATTACAGGGCAGAGCCAATCATTACTGGGCAGATTCAATCATTACAGGGCAGAGCCAATCATTACTGGACAGAGCCAATCATTACTGGGCAGATCCAATCATTACTGGTTTTTCAGAGCCAATCATTACTGGGCAGAGCCATTCATTACTGGGCAGAGCCAATCATTACTGGGCAGATCCAATCATTACTGGGCAGAGCCAATCATTACTGGGCAGATCCAATCATTAATGTGCAGAGCCAATCATTTACTGGGCAGATCCAATCATTACAGGGGTAGAGCCAATCATTACTGGGCAGATCCAATCATTACAGGGTAGAGCCAATCATTACTGGGCAGATGCAATTATTACTGGGCAAAGCCAATCATTACTAGGAAGATCCAATCGTTACTGGGCAGATCCAATCGTTACTGGGCAGAGACAATCATTATTAATCTTACTGGGCAGAGCCAATCATTACTGGGCAGAGCCAATCATTACTGCAGAGCAATCATTACTGGGCAGAGCCACATCATTACTGGGCAGATCCAATATTACTGGGCAGAGCCAATCATTACAGGGCAGAGCCAATCATTACTGGGCAGATCTAATCATTACTGGGCAGAGCCAATCATTACTGGGCAGAGCCAATCATTACAGGGCAGAGCCAATCATTACTGGGCAGATCCAATCATTACAGGGCAGAGCCAATCATTACTGGGCAGAGCCAATCATTACAGGGCAGAGCCAATCATTACTGGGCAGATCTAGTACATTTAGGTCAAGATGGTGCTGGTCACTGGCCCCAGATAGGCATGACGGAGACTTCCTAGCCAATGTGTTTACTACGTCATCTCTGACCCAGGTGACCGAGGATGACCATGGAGGGGACACACCTCTCCTTTTGGCTGTAGGACCAATGGAATCTTTTGCTTTCAATAAATCCAGGAAAAACGGTAACTGCAAGGCTGGAATCGATATATGTGAGCTGATCTGCTTCCAGAGGTAGTGAGATTCTTGTCAGCCAGCTTTCTGATCCCCTGCCAGACAGTACATGCAGGTCAGTGACCTCACTATACTCTACTGCAGAGAGCTTGGTCACTGACACACCCCCAATGCCTGTGATTGGGCAATGAAAGAGTAGCACCAGTCTTATGGAGCAGATCCCTTTCTGCTTTCCGTTTCTTTTCTTTTCATTTTTTCATTTCCATTTTTTTCTTTTCTTCTTCACTTTTTCTATTTTCTTTTTTTCCTTCCTCTTCTTTCCTTGCCATTTTTTTAAAATATTTTATGTTTTATTTTTTCTTTCTTTTTGTCTTTTATTTTTGTTCCTCCTTTTCATTTCTTCTTTTCTTTTTTTTTTTTTTTTTCTTTCTTTTCTTTTTTTTTTTTTTTCTTTTTTTCCTCTATTTATCTTTTTTTTTCTTTCTTCCTTCTTTTCTTCATTTTTTATTTTCTCCTTTTTTTTTTTTTTCTTTTCTTCTTCTCTCTGTTCTTTTTTTCCCTCTTTTTATTCTTTTTTCTTTCTTCTTTTCTTCTTTTTTTTTCTCCTTTTCCTTTTATTCTTCCTTCTTTTTAGCTTTTTTCTTTCTTCCTTCCTTCTTTTTTTCCTTTTCTTTATTTTTTCTTTGCTCCCTTTTTTTTCTTTTCTTTTGTTTATTCTTTTCTCTTTTTTCTTTTTCTCCTTTTTTTCTGTTTTATGTTTATTCTTTTTTTTCCTTTTTCTTTTCTTCTTTTTCTTCTTTTCTGCTTTTTATTATTTTCTCCTTTTCTCCTTTCTCCTTTTCCCCTTTATTCCTCCTTTTTAACTTTTTTATTTCTTCCTTCCTTCTTTTCTTCCTTTTTTTCTTTTCTCCCTTTTTTCTTTTCTTCTGTTTATTCTTTGCTCCTTTTTTTTTTTTTTCTACTTTTTCTTTTTTTTTTTCTTTTTCTTTTTTTTTTTTTCCTACTTTTTATTATTTTCTCCTTTTTTTTTCTTTTCTCCATTTTCTTTTTTTATCTTTTCTTCTTTTTTTTTTTTTCCGTTTCTTTGTTTTCTTTTTCTTTTCTTTTCCTTCTTTTCATCTTTTTTCTTTCCTCCTTCCTTCTATTCTTTTTTTTTTCTCCTTTTTTTCCTTCTTTTTTTTTTTTTTTTTTTTTTTTGTGTTCTTTTCTTTTTTTCTTTTCTTTTTTTTTTTTTTTTCCTTTTTTTTCTTTTTTTTTTTTTCTTTTTCTTTTGTTCTTTTCTTTCTTCCTTTCCATCTGACTATTGTTCTCTCCCTGTTTCTCTTGTCTGTTGATGACTGTGAACGGTTAATGATGGGACAGGCAGGACTGTTTTGTCAGGAAGTGATCACAGAGGTGTATGTAGTCCCCGGAGGAGGGAAGTTATTTCTGTGATAATTCACATGAGTTCTAATTACAACAACTTGTTTTTGCAGATGAAATGTACATTTAGAGTCTATGTGGTCACAGGCTGGAGATCAGAAGAGAATTCCCTGCGGAGTCTCCGATAGGATACATGACAATTGTTATTTATTGTTTGTAAAAAGTCTGTAGAAGTTTTTGTTGGGATGTTGAACTGTAGATGAAGAAAGTGAAAAAGTCAACTGATGGACAGAAGATGATGTAAGCTGGGAAGATATTGGAGAGTTTATTAAAAGACCACATAGATGAGTTATTGCTGGAAACAAATATTGTAACAGACGGCGTGGATTCATGAAAGACAGTTGTCCAACAAATCTGATTTCTTTTAATGAGGAGGTGAGCAAAACCTTGGACAGAGGGGGTGGCGGTGGACGTGGTATACATGGACAGAGGGGTGGCGGTGGACGTGGTATACTTGGACAGAGGGGTGGCGGTGGACGTGGTATACTTGGACAGAGGGGTGGCGTGGTGGTACGTGGTATACTTGGACAGAGGGGTGGCTGTGGCGGTGGACGTGGTATACTTGGACAGAGGGGGTAGCTGTGGACGTGGTATACTTGGACAGAGGGGGTGGTGGGGGACACGGTATACTTGGACAGAGGGGTGGCGGGGGGCGGACGTGGTATACTTGGACAGAGGGGTGGCGGTGGACGTGGTATACTTGGACAGAGGGGTGGCGGTGGACGTGGTATACTTGGACAGAGGGGGGTGGCTGTGGACGTGGTATACTTGGACAGAGGGGTGGCTGTGGACGTGGTATACTTGGACAGAGGGGTGGCGTGGACGTGGTATACTTGGACAGAGGGGTGGTGGGGGACGTGGTATACTTGGACAGAGGGGTGTAGCTGTGGACGTGGTATACTTGGACAGAGAGGGGTGGTGGGGGACACGGTATACTTGGACAGAGGGTGGCGGTGGATGTGGTATACTTGGACAGAGGGGCTATGGGGGACACGGTATACTTGGACAGAGGGGTGGCTGTGAACGTGGTATACTTGGACAGAGTGGTGGCTGTGGACACGGTATACTTGGACAGATGGATGGCTGTGGAAATGTGGGACTTGTATACTTGGACAGAGGGGTGGCTGTGGACGTGGTATACTTGGACAGAGGATGTGGTGTGGACGTGGTATACTTGGACAGAGGGGTGGCGGTGGACATGGTAGACTTGGACAGAGGGGTGGCTGTGGACGTGGTATACTTGACAGAGGGGGGTGTGGCTGTGGAAGTGGTATAGTTGGACAGAGGGGGAGGCGGTGGACGTGGTATATTTGGAGAGAGGGGTGGCGGTGGACGTGGTATACTTGGACAGAGGGGTGGTGGTGGACGTGGTATACTTGGACAGAGGGGTGGCGGTGGCGGTGGACGTGGTATACTTGGACAGAGACAGGGGTGGCGGTGGACATGATATACTTGGGACAGAGGGGTGGCGTGGACATGGTATACTTGGATAGAGGGGTGGCGGTGGGACATGATAAACTTGGACAGAGGGGTAGCTGTGGACGTGGTATACAGTCAGGTCCGTAAATATTGGGACATGGACACAAATTCTAACATTTTTGGCTCTATACACCACAATGGATTTGAAATGAAATGAACAAGATGTGCTTTAACTGCAGACTGTCAGCTTTAATTTGAGGGTGTGTTACATCCAAATCAGGTGAACGGTGTAGGACTTACAACAGTTTGCATATGTGCCTCCCACTTGTTAAGGGACCAAAAGTAATGGGACAATTGGCTTCTCAGCTGTCCCATGGCCAGGTGTGTGTTATTCCCTCATTATCCCAATTCCAATGAGCAGATAAAAGGTCCAGAGTTCATTTCAAGTGTGCTATTTGCATTTGGAATCTGTTGCTGTCAACCTCAAGATGAGATCCAAAGAGCTGTCACTATCAGTGAAGCCATCATTAGGCTGAAATTACAAAACAAGGTTCAGTGTTTGCAGATGACACCAAGCTGTGCCGGGAATAACGTCCTTACAGGATGTCTCCAACTTACAAGCCGACCTCAATGCTCTGTGTAATTTGGGGGACTATGGGGCCAATGAGGGCTAATGGTGATAAATGTAAGGTTATGCACTTGGGGTCTAAGAATATGCATCATACATACTAGGGGGGTACAACTGGGGGGGGGGGTGAGTGGTGGAGAAGGATCTGGCGGGGTCAATGGTGGAGAAGGATCTGAGGGGGGTAAATGGTGGAGAAGGATCTGGCGGGGTCAATGGTGGAGAAGGATCTGAGGGGGGTCAATGGTGGAGAAGGATCTGAGGGGGGGTCAATGGCGGAGAAGGATCTGGGGGGGGTCAATGGCGGAGAAGGATCTGAGGGGGGGTCAATGGTGGAGAAGGATCTGGGGGGGGTCAATGGTGGAGAAGGATCTGGGGGGGGTCAATGGTGGAGAAGGATCTGGGGGGAGTCAATGGTGGAGAAGGATCTGGGGGGGTCAATGGTGGAGAAGGATCTGAGGGGGGTCAATGGTGGAGAAGGATCTGGGGGTTCTGGTAGATCACAAGCTTAATAATGGCAGCAATGCCAAGCTGCGGGTTCTAAAGCGAGCAAAATCCTCTCTTGTATTAGGAGAGGTATAGACTCCAGAAAGAAAGATCACCACCCCCCCCCCCCCAGGTACAAATCATTAGTAATACCTCTTCTGGAATATGCAGTTCAGTTTTGGGCTCCAATTCACAAAAATAACATTGGGGAACTGGAGAAAGTACAGAGAAGGGCAACCAAACTGATACGAGGCATGGAGGAGATCAGCTATGAGGAGAGATTAGAGGAACTGAATGTATTCTCTACTGAGAAGAGGAGATTAAGGGGGGATATGATCTCCATGTATAATACATAAGGGGGGGGGATATGATCTCCATGTATAATACATAAGGGGGGGATATGATCTCCATGTATAATACATAAGGGGGGGGATGATCTCCATGTATCATATCTCCATGTATAATACATAAGGGGGGGATATGATCTCCATGTATAATACATAAGGGGGGATATGATCTCCATGTATAATACATAAGGGGGGGATCTCCATGTATAATACATAAGGGGGATATGATCTCCATGTATAATACATAAGGGGGGATATGATCTCCAGGGGGGGGGATATGATCTCCATGTATAATACATAAGGGGGGGGATATGATCTCCATGTATAATACATAAGGGGGGATATGATCTCCATGTATAATACATAAGGGGGGGGGATATGATCTCCATGTATAATACATAAGGGGGGATATGATCTCCATGTATAATACATAAGGGGGGGATATGATCTCCATGTATAATACATAAGGGGGGATATGATCTCCATGTATAATACATAAGGGGGGATATGATCTCCATGTATAATACATAAGGGGGGGATATGATCTCCATGTATAATACATAAGGGGGGGATATGATCTCCATGTATAATACATAAGGGGGGGATATGATCTCCATGTATAATACATAAGGGGGGGATGATCTCCATGATCTATGATCTCCATGTATAATACATAAGGGGGGATATGATCTCCATGTATAATACATAAGGGGGGATATGATCTCCATGTATAATACATAAGGGGGGATATGATCTCCATGTATAATACATAAGGGGGGGATATGATCTCCATGTATAATACATAAGGGGGGATATGATCTCCATGTATAATACATAAATATGGGGGGGGGATATGATCTCCATGTATAATACATAAGGGGGGATATGATCTCCATGTATAATACATAAGGGGGATATGATCTCCATGTATAATACATAAGGGGGATATGATCTCCATGTATAATACATAAGGGGGGGGGATATGATCTCCATGTATAATACATAAGGGGGGATATGATCACCATGTATAATACATAAGGGGGGGGGGGGGATATGATCTCCATGTATAATACATAAGGGGGGGGGATATGATCTCCATGTATAATACATAAGGGGGGGATATGATCTCCATGTATAATACATAAGGGGGGGATATGATGATGTATAATACTAAGGGGGATATGATCTCATGTATAATACATAATAGGGGGGGATATGATCTCCATGTATAATACATAAGGGGGGATATGATCACCATGTATAATACATAAGGGGGGGGGGATATGATCTCCATGTATAATACATAAGGTCAGGCACTGATGTCGGGGGAGGAGGCCTGGCTCGCAGTCTCCGCTCTAATTCATCCCAAAGGTGTTCTATGGGGTTGAGGTCAGGACTCTGTGCAGGACAGTCAAGTTCCTCCACCCCAAACTGGCTCCTCCATGTCTTTATGGACCTTTCTTTGTGCACTGGGGGCAGTCATGTTGGAACAGGAAGGGGCCATCCCCAAACTCTTCCCACAAAGTTGGGAGCATGAAATGGTCCAAGATGTCGCCTTAAGAGTTCCCTTCACTGGAACTAGGGGGCCAAGCCCAACCCCTGAAAAAACAACCCCACGCTATAATCCCCCCTCCACCAAACTTTACACTTGGCACAATGCAGTCAGGCAAGTACTGTTCTCCTGGTAACCGCCAAACCCAGACATGTCCATCGTATTGCCAGACAGAGAAGCGTGATTGGTCCCTCCAGAGAACATGTCTCCATACTCTAGAGTCCAGTGGCGGCGTGCTTTACACCACAGCATCCAACACTTTGCATTGCACTTGGTGATGGAAGGCTTGGATGCAACTGCTCGGCCATGGAAACCCATTCCATGGAGCTCTCTACGCACTGTTGTTGGGCTCATCTGAAGGCCACACCAAGTTTGGAGGTCTTTAGCTATTGACTCTGCAGACAGTTGGTGACTTCTGCGCACTGTGCGCTTCAGCATGCGCTGACCCCGCCCTGTCATGTGACGTGGCCTACCACTTGGTGGCTGAGTGGCTGTTGTTCCCAGTTGCTTCCACATTGTTATAATCCCACTAACAGTTGAGCGTGGAATATTTAGTAGCCAGGAAATGTCACGGATGGACTTATTGCCCAGGTGGCCACCTATCACGGGACCACGCTTGGAGTCACTGAGCTCCTGAGAGCAACCCATTCTTTCACCAATGTTTGTAGAAGCAGTCTGCATGCCTAGGGGCTTGATTGTATACACCTGTTGTGCATGATAGGGGGGGATTGGAACACCTGAATCACATGATATGGGGGGGATTGGAACACCTGAATCACATGATAACACCTGAATCACATGGGGGGGGATTGGAACACCTGAATCACATGATTGGGAACACGGGGATTGGAACACCTGAATCACATGATTGGGAGGGGATTGGAACACCTGAATCACATGATGGATGGAAGGGATTGGAACACCTGAATCACATGATATGGAGGGGATTGGAACACCTGAATCACATGATATGGGGGGATTGGAACACCTTCACATGATTTGGAGGGGATTGGAAGGGATTGGAGCACCTGAATCACATGATATGGAACACACCTGAATCACATGGTATGGAGGGGATTGGAACACCTGAATCACATGAT